ATCCAACTTCTTTCATAACTAGTGAGTCTTCTATTAGACTGAATTCATGGTGGTAATTTAAAGCTGTAAATTCTCAGAATCTGTGTTTGTGTGTCCATATATATGTTGTAAATGTGTGGCATTGATGCCAGGGTTCTTGTTCATGGAGTTGAAGAATGAATTTTGAAATACTCAAAGTAGGAGAGCAAGGGAGAGGCTATTATTTAGAGATAAAGTGAGGACAGAGCTCGTGGCTCACACCTGGAGAGGACAAGAGAGTCTGTGGTCGGGCACTGTCTAGGGGTTTTATAATGTGATAAAGGGCTAGGGGTGTGGACCTGTTAAGTGGTCCTAGAATGTTCATCCTTGAGGAGACATTAAGTCTCTCTTCTCATCAGTCTTCCAGATAATTCTGCAAAATTAACATTAGAAATTTACTGCAGATTTCTTTCCCAGAATAGCAGCTTTTTGGTCTGGGGAGCATATCAATCATCGACTGCCTGCCCTGCCCTCAAGGTGGGTTGAGTTATTGTCTGTTTGCTAAAGAGTGTAAAAGGAAATCTAAGATGGAATCTTTCTCGCTTTCACTAGTTGTTTATGGCTGGGCTTGCTTGCCATTATTAATTGCCCAGGTTGCAAATCACCTGATCAGGTCTAAAGGAGTAAAAACAGCACATAGGCCTGGGCCTTTTAGCACGCTAAACTGAATCTTACACATAGTTACAAATGATTAGCATAGTAAAAAACACGGGCTACTTTCCTTTATCTGGGGAATATTAACTGATCTCACTGAAGAATGACTGTAGAGCTTAAAGTTTAACCCAGAGTTTTGGTAGGTGGTTTCCTTGCATATTGTTACACTGCTCTGACTGTAACTATCTTGCTTTGCCTTTTTCAGGGGCCCTCACCCTACTAGGTCTAAACCCATGGTCCCTGTCTCAGTATTTTCTTTGGATGACATAGCTAAAATTAATTTGTAAAAAGCTCCATTCAATTGGTTTAAAAATAATTGCTTGTAAATTAAGCATTTCTAAATCTCACAAATATAATAGAAACTAACACAAATGTTTTCCATTTATCTAAGATAATTTTCAGTAAATAAAGGCGAGCTTAAGTTTGTTGATTTAATAAAAAGACATTCTTTAGAGATATCTAATTAAGTATACTTTTTATTCTACCTAGGTTTACTAAGAATAAGCTCAGGGTGCCTCTGCTATAAAATTTGTTCACAGTAACTTGGTATGATGAATATTTAAAAATAATAGCTTCCAAAATCTTTTTGGTAAGCTGAAACCTTAAAGTTTTGCTAAAGTAAATTAAATGATGGGAGTTCATTCAATATCTATATCATTTCCAAGTTAGATAAAATACTTATGCATTAATTACTAAGCAAGTCTAAATTTGCCCACTTTTATCTTTTTTTACAGAGAAACTGAAGATAAGTCTGGATCTATTGGTAAACATTTGTTGTGCTTTATTACAAGATTATACTGTGAAGAAGCATATGTTTCTAGAAATGACTAAATATAATCATAAATTCACCAATGTAAAGAATGCTGATGTAACAGTTCACAACTGCTTTCTACTTAGTTTTCACTAGAAATTAAGGTTTCTAAAAGTTAAGAATTCTAAAGTGTAATTAAAGCCATTAGAAATAATAAGGGAAACATCTTTGCATACAAGAAAAATAGGAAGTGTACTTGTGGTAAAAGAAGTCATAAGGAATGGAAATGCATATTTTACTGAGGGAGAAAGAAAATAATTTTGTCCTAAAAGTGAAAGGCTGGTTATTTAAAGAGGGAAAACTTAGGACAAAATCTGAACATAGAGAAGAAACTTATAGAAGGTTTATAAAAAGGACTTTTGAGAAAAGAGTTTTAATATGTGATCAAGCTGGCTAAGATTAAAATGAATTTATTTTATGAATGATTTTTAATATCAAAAGTAAGTTGGTGCAAAGTTAAAGTTTTGTTTTTTCTCTTTTAAAAGAATAACATTTTCTTAGATAATTGGTATGCTCTTAATAAGAAATTGTAAATGAAGGTTTTTCTTTGCCTTTAATGTAATCTGCCTAAAAACAAAGATTCGATGTCTTGTCTTCATCAGATCTTTGATATTTAAAAAAAAACGGAGTCTCTTCAACATTAAAAGAACTAAGGCTTTTTAACTTTCTGTGTTTGTCTACAAAGTCTTTGTTACTGGTTAAATGGATAATTAAATTTTCTTTCACAGTGACCTATGAGCCTATGTAACCAAATGCTTTAAAACCATTTTTACTAGTTATCTTAAAACATTACGTGTCACAAAAATAACTGAATTTTCTTGTCAATTCCATTGAGGTGAATTCTCATTAAATCTTTAACAATGGACCATACATCTATAAAGATTATGGTACCTGTGAATAAAGTCCATTTTGCTTCTGCAAAAATTGGCCCCTCACTGCCAGGCTTCGCCGTCATGATATTCTTGTAACATGGCAACAGTCTGCTCCTGAATCAGAGAAATTAAGATGAGTAAACACACAGTTAAGCACACATCCTCCCTAGCAAACTCTCTCTCTCTTTTTTTTTGCATTTCTTCACCCACCTTAATTGCATTTAAAGAAAACTATTTTGGTCCCAGAGGCTTCAGACCTTCTCCCTCTGGACCTTTTGAACACCTACTGCTAAACATCATTCAACTACAATCTAGTACGGGTTATCAAAATGCTCTTATTAGTGTATGCATATTTTCCAGATGGGTTGAAGCTTTCCCTTGCTGCAAGGTTGATGCCCTCATAGTGGCAAAGAAACTGTTGGAGATTGTGTTTCCCACTTGTAATGCCTTCCATAGTTTCCAGTGAACAAGGCATCTACCTCACTGGGAAAATTATACAAGCCTTAATGAAAGCCATACAGACTTCTTGGAATTATCCCTGTCTCTATCACTCTCAATCATCAGGAAAGGGGGAGATAACTCCCCTCAAACTTAAAGTTTTTAAACTTGTTGAAACTACTGGATTTCCCTGGCCTAAGGTATTGCCTTTGGTCTTGCTGTTTTCAGTACTCCCTTTGGAAAACAGAAAGTCACTCCACATGACAGTCACTGGCAGACCAGTGTCTACTGGTATACAACTTTCTGCTGATGCCTCGCTGTCTCATGCTAGTCTGTAAGTCCTTAATGTCTTATGCTCAAGCCAATCATCAGCAGATGAAAGAAGCCTTCCCAGATTGCAGTTCAAAGGATTATGTTGGTCACAGACTGGAGCCTGGCAACTGGGTGTTCTGGAAATATCATCAGAGGAGACAACTCTTGAGCTCTGTTAGAAGGAACATTACCAAGTACGTCTGACTATTAACATAGCTGCAAAATCTGAAGGAATTCAGCCTAGGGAACATTGCTCACAGCTAAAGAAGGCTCCACCTGAGACCTGGTCCTTTGCAGACCTAGGACACCTCTGAATAAGGTTAATGAGGAAAAGCAGCAGCTGACATCGATGGAGCCTGCTTCCACCCAGGACGATTGATCAAGACTCCATATTTTAACTAAACATGAAACACTTTCTTCTTTTTCCTTTCCTTTACTCTGGCATTGGCCTGGGAAGATCACACCCTCATCCCTATCTCCCAGGCCATTGCTGGGGGTGTGGGGGCGTGGTGGGGAGAGGGCAACCTCTGAGATTTAGAACAACCTTTTATTTCAGTCTAGGAAAAAAGCTTAATCATTCCCTTAACTTTTCATAAGCAAAATAAGACATCTATGTCATTGGTAGATTCCCCTGATGCAACATGTCAAGTTAGAAAGCACCTCCCAGAGGTTTTCATGATTCCTTTTGGCAGGCCCCTGCTTCCCTGATTAGGGATAAATGTAAATGAGAATATGATCAGAAATCTGTTCTTAACTCTTGAAGATACTACAGAATTCACTGCTGAGACAATAGCTGGCCTAAAAAAGATCCTTAGACTCTCTGGCCAAAGTTGTTCTTGAAAGCGGGATAGCCCTTGATTATCTTTTAACTGAGCAAGGAGGTGTCTGTGCTGTGGCCAACACCACCTGCTGCTCCTGGATTAATGTTTCTGGGGAAGCTGAAACTCAGTTATGAAAGATCACTGAGCAAGCCACTTGGCTTAGAAAGGTGACTCCTTCAACAAGGTTTTTCTGTGATTGGTTTGGGCCTTGGGGATCATGGCTCCAAAACATACTCCAAACACCTGCTTACATTTATCCTAATCACCTCTCGGCTGTGTTACAGTCTCTCAAAGGCTTTAAATGCATACTTGCAGCCATTAACTACCAAGCAACTGCTCTCCCTATATCTGGAACATCAGAAAGGAACAAAGAGCATGTCTCACTTCCATGACCTGTGAATATCACAGGGGTAAAGCAAAAAGGTCATGATCCTCAGACATCACACAAAAGGAACAACAGGGACTGAGAACTTCAGAGCAGTAGCTGAGTGACATTAATGCCTTAAATTTTGCACTCATCTCACAGGTAAGCCAAGAGTCTGATCAAAATGGGGAATTGGTAAAAAAGAAAGCCACACCCCCACAAGTGAGGGCTAGGCCAGGTCATCAAACGGGCTTACCGCCTAGCCCAATTGCAGTTTCTAACTCCCTGGAAATGTAGTCTTAGTCATTCAGGAGCTTTCTGGCCAGCATCTAGGAGGTAACATGTCACATGACCTCTCTCCAACCCATAAAAAGATGAGGTTCATCTGCATGATAAGATCCCCCTGTTCTTCCCCCAAAGGGAGAATGACCTTTCCTGAAACAGTCCCTTCTTTTCTTTTGCTAAGAACTTTTTGCTCCACCGTCCTGTCTATAAAAACCTTCCATTTCTTACAACTCTCCACTTGCTAGACAGGATGCTGACCGATTCATAAATCACATAAAAAAGTTACTTAGATCTTCAAATTTACTCGGTTGAATTTGTTTTTTAACAATATTGAAATACACACACACACACACTCAAACATCATGGGCTACTTCTGCTTTAATAGCCTGGAAAAATATGCCTGGAAATGTAAAAAAGGTGTGTCTCTGCATGAGAGATGGGAATGCTGGTGATGTCTGCTTTTGCCACAATTTTATAATTTTTCTAAGCTGAGTTTGTATTTTACTCATATAGTTGAAACATTAAATAATTCCTAACAACAGTGACCTAAAAACAAATGAGATTTATTAGGAAAAAAGCTGAACATGGAAAGGGGGAATGATGGAGGAAGAGTATGTGATTGTATAAATAGAGGGGTTGGTGAATGAGACCCTTTCAGCCCTAAGTTCTATGAATAAGAGAGAGGCAAGATACTGAAGCCACTGTGAACTAGGTCAGCCTAGCAGAAAATGAACCACTAAAACTGAAGGCACCTTGGGGGCAGAGGTCAGGTCTTACTCACTTTTATGTAATCTGCATCTAATTGCAGGGTTTAAGAGTCAGAAAATACTTGTTAAGGAGAGAGAGGATGGAGAGCTTGCTACATGCTCATGGTGACAGGGGCAGGAGGAGTCATGGAGGCACAGAGAGGGTAGGGGAAGGAGACAGGAGAGTCCCAGAGGGAGCAGGGGTGATGTGAAGGAGAGAGCGTCTCTCTGGTGAGTCAAGCTATGGGAACAGCAATGCCTGTGGCTGAGGAGGAGCGGGTTTCAGGGCTTGGACACTGCTGAGGATTGATGGCCGGGTCCTTTGAAGCTCCAGGAGCACAGAACGGGGCTAAAGGAGCAATGGAACAGGGCAAGAAGGGCCAAGTCTCTAAAATCTGTTACAGAAGGATGTGTCACTGCAGCATTCAAAATCCAGCGTATCACTCTGTTTGAAGATAGACATGGAGACACACAGATCCCCACAGCCCTGGTGTGCATACAGGAGCCTGCCACCTGCAGAAGAAAGACAAGACAAGAGCCTCTCAGATTTGTGTCTTCCAAGTTCAACTGCTTGCCACCTAAGAGGTAAACAGTAAATGCCTACTGAGTGAATGAGCGATTCAACAAATGAGGAGTAACCAGCTGCTCATTGTCCTGAGGAGTCAGGCTGTCAGGCAGGAAGGGACATCAGCCAGCTGCAGGCCTGGGTGGGGCCCTAGGGGCCACCTTCCCCCAACCCCTCATCTTGCTGCCTCCAGTTCCCCAAAATGCTACACAAGCTCCTGAGGAATGTTGGTAGTCCGACTGTCATCCCTGAGCACGTATGGGGACTGCAGAAGGGTCCAGTGAGCCCTGGAAGCATTTTTTCCCCCCATAGGCCCCATGTAAGGCCGGTGGCAGGCCAGCACTAGATCCGGAGGACCCTTTCCCAACTCTGTAGGGGAGTAAAGCCTCCCCCCAGGGCCCCAGAGAGAAATAATTCCCTCAAGTTCAGCAAAGGTCACCCTAGGAGCCTTGGCAGGCGCCCCCTACCTTCATAGAATTTTCTCAGAAAGCACTGTTGGCTGCCTTGAGTGCGGCAGGAACTCTCCCCAGTCTCACACACGCCACCGGCGTTGACTCGCTCACACTGGAAACACTGCACAGCTGCGGAGGCAGAACCAGAATGATGAGGCTCCTCCAGCCCCACCTCCCGCCGGTCGGGAGAGGCGGCCTCGGGCAGGAGCAGCGGGACGGTGACCCGTTCCCTCCGAACGATGCCTGTGCTGAGGCAGGGGGCTCCTCGACCCAGGGCATGTTACCTGGGCCGTGTGCGTGCCTCTGGGTGCAGAGTCTGCACCTGGGGACACACAGGGTCTCCCTCTGCCCCTAGGGATGCGCTGTGTTGCGGGAGGGAGGTCAAGTCCTATACTGGGGCTCTGCCGGACCCCACCTTGTGGCCCGGGGCCACTCCTCCCGGTCCCTGGGGCAGCCCGCAGTTTTGTCCTTACCGCCCACAAAGAACCTTCTTTGCTCCCTTCCCACTCAAAGGTAGGGCCTTCAACAAGAAGGAGCGGGGAATCGGGGATTAGAGCTGAGGTGGGAGGGAGGTGGAGGAAGCAAAGGAGAGAGGAGGCGGGCAGGGGTGTGCTGCGGCGCGGGCTGGGCTGGCCGCCCAAGCAGGTGAGGTCCCTGCGCCTCGCTCCTCACCTCGCTCCGGCCCATGGCCTCTGCCCCTGTGTGGTCTGCTCACCTGCGCTCGGCCCGTCCCGGTCCTCCCAGACTCCCCGCGGGGCTCACCTTGCAGGAAGCCCAGCAGCGAGGAGAGGCTCAACAGCACCAGCAGGACGCGCGCCCCCATCTCAGGCCCAGGCCCAGGCAGCAGAAGGCAGGAGAGCCGCAGGTACCCAGCCCCTTAGAATCCGGCTTTATAGCCGGCTGGGAGGGGCAGCCAATGGGAGCTGAGGCCAAGGGCGGCCCCTGCAGACACCTAGGGGGCCTGAGGGGAGTCCTGGGTTCTTGCCGCCTCAAAGGTCTTCACCTCCGCGAGCCGCGTTCTCTCGGGGCTGCTCTTGGTCTCATTTCCCCGAGCGTTGTTAAAAGGGGAGAACTGGAGACGCCTTACTCAGCCAAAGGATTTGTGAGATGCAGGGGCGCTGATGAACCTGGAGGGGTGGGCACCCCTGCAAGGATCTGCCATACTTAAGGGGACTACTTCTCTGAATATGGTGCGAGTCCAGATCATGAAATCTCCCGATTTCATGGAAATGGATATGTGCCTAGACTGTTGCTTAATAAAGCATTAAATCCAAAATAGCAGATTTGGTTTATCTTCCAGTCAAGCTGCATTCCAGACTAGGTAGAGATTTTTGTTCATTTATATACTTGATGAACGTAATTTAAAAATACGAATCTGGAGAAAAAGTTTCATAGCTTTGGCTTCAGGCTCCTCTGCACCTGGGTCCACCTTTACCCAAACACAGGGCTCCCAGAAGGTACATATCCCCTGCCCTTCTGCATTAGCCTTTTCTCCCAACTCGAGAACAGGAAGCCCATTAAAATGGAGGGCTTACTCCATAGGGTATAATGATTCCCCAAACCAGCTCTGAAGTCTGAGGAAGTTGTGTAGCCTACCCCACCCCAAAACAACATATGACATTGATTGAGAGCTTGTGAAATGCCAGACACAGTGCTGAATTCTTGAACAATGCCATTCCATTCAATTTTCACACAACCTCTTATGGTAGCTATTAATATCTCAATTTTATTGATGAGAAAACTAAAAGGAAGCAACTGGTACCTGGTGACAAAGAGGATAACTGGCAGATTCAAACCCAGATCTGCAGATTACATTGCCCCTGTCACTCTGCCAGGGAAGCTGTCTTGATGGGGCCCGAGAGCCTCCAGATTAGAGTCTGAGGACCAGAGGGCAGGATTCCTGCTGCCAGAGATGGCTCCTTTAGACACAAAAGGCCTCTTGCACTAGCTCCACATCAGGAACAATAGACATGTCTCAGCAGAAATAATTTTCTATACTAAGATTAGCCCAGCCCTAGGAGGTTCTTTTCCTTCCACTCCTTGGAGCTTCTTTCTGACAATCCTTTTTCCAGGGGGCCCAGCTGTCCAAGCTCCATAAAGCCAGAGACTACCCCAGGGTCCTACTCACAGCCCCTCCTACCCTGGAAAAGATAGGCAAGACTCATTTTCACCTATGGGATGCTGAGGGACCTAACATTGTGCATTGTGCTTGAGTTAGGGTGGGAGCAGATAGCGTCAAAATCTTAGGATGGGAGAGTATGCATCATTTAAATAAATATATTAATATAATTAATATGATACTCTTGAAAAAAAAACATAACTACTTTTTTAGTACAAACTACACAGAACTTGACAATCATGTCGGCACGTGGAGGTATCAGAAAGCAGTCAACACCCTTCTCAGCCATCATCAACGAGGCTTAAAGGGGGCCCCCTTCCTTATGGTATAGTAAGTTTTTATGTTTACCAAGCAATGGCATGCATTTTTTTGAAGAGTAAAAAACCCTTCCTTTTATGCTATCAGTGAGTTGAGTGGAGGCAGGAACTCAGTTCTTCCCAGGCTGATGCAGGGGTCAGTCCAGACTCTGCAAGAGAGACTCATAAAGGAAAAAGCTTGTCAATCAGCTCTGATCCCAGCAGACAGCATCTCCCCAGACACATCCCCCACATGTGGCCTGCAGTCCTGGCAGCAACTTCTGCATCCTCATTCCCAACCAGGATTCCCTGCTGCTGCTCCTGAAATATCTACCTTAAATCTTCCCTCTTTCCTCCGTGCAGGGAACCAAATAATCTGGGAGCCTCCCAGCCAGTCAGTGTTGCCGAGAACACTTCACTATAATCCTCTTCTCTGTTATATGACATAAACACAAGAACTGGTTATGTACTGTGGTAACTTAATGAGGTATTTCGTTTGTGTGTTGTTTAGTATTCTCCTCCCTACCCTCATTTACAAGAAGGCAGCTTGGTTCTCCAGCAAAGTCCCAAAGAGTGAGAGGAGGAATGGCTGAGGTTGCACCCAGTGAAGATAGAGTCTTGGGCATCAACGCTCCAGCCTCAGGAAACATTCCAGGACAAGACCTCAGCTAGCACAAAGGTGGCAGAACTCCAGGGATACAGGGGAGTGCAGGCCCCTGTATAAAGGTTACTGATAACAGTCTAGGCAAAGACTATGTACATCAGTCCCAACCTTTACTGCACATTATCATCCCTCATCTGGTTACAAGCACAGCAGAATTCCTGGCTGTTAGTTTTAAAAACACTTATCAGTTGTCCTGTCAGATATAAATTCCTATGCTGAAGAAATTTGCAAAGTGTTACTGTCCTGAAGAGAAATCGGTCAACTTTGCCAGGTTCCAAGTATATGGATTTAGACCAGAAGGATGCTGGTAAACGTTAATAACTGGCTTATGTAGTGAGAAAGGGTGGGAAGAGTCTGGACTGTAGCATTTGCAGATTTCCATGGTGTAAATGGCAGTTTCAAGCTACCATGCTGACAGCACTGAATGGAGAGTTGAGATGTGCCCATTATATAGTATTTCCAGCTAACAAGTACAATAGAAATAAAAAACCTTAACAGCACAGATAGCAGTAAAAAATTAAGAATTGATCAGGTTTTGAGTATTTATTATCTTTGTTTCTAATATAATTTGTCAGCTTATATGTTAATTTTTAATAATATCCATGTTCAACAACCTGCTTGTAAAATTCTGAAACTTTAATGATCAGCTTTCAGGAAGCCAGTTCAAGTAGCTCCCAGCACACCACTACTGAGCCACAATTATGAAAAGCTGGTCAAGTGAAAGGGAGAAATCACTGTACCCCTTTACTCACGTAATTCCATGATAATATCACCTGTCTATCCTAGATGACTTGATTTGATATGTCACAGAAGAACAGATCTATGTGGACAGCCAAACAGAAGATTTCCCCGCCTTTGAACAGACCTCTCCTTCTTGGGTTCATGCAATATTCAAGAAAGCACTGTCTTGAAGGGACTGTGCAGACATGTCTAACCATCTGTTTGCATGCTCTGCTGTTGGCAGGGATGTAAGGCTGTGGCGCTGAAACTGGAGCATCCTGATCTTGGATAGCTTTACGTGGAATTTCTGCAGAAGATGAAGAGGAACTTTATTGCTCAGAATTTTAGTTCTAGAAATCAGTTTTGGCAACAGAAAAAGAGGGAAGATCTGATGAGGACAATGGAGACCGGGAGGGAACTGTTTCAGTAATCCAGGAAAGGAAGATGAGAGCCTCAAGTTGGGTTATGTTAGTGGGAATTAAGAGGAACTGATAAACTGAAGAACTAGTTAGAGGTAAAACTGGTATAATGTGTAAGGTGAGGGCAAGGGAGAAGTCAGGGGCTGAAACAAAGGTCTGGGGCACAGATGATAAATTCAGTATTATACATGTTGTGTTGAGGTGTTGTGGGATATCCAGATAGAAATGTTCAGCTGGTAGTTGCATACATGGGTCTAAACTAAGAGGAAGGTCTGTGGGCCGGTTGGTAGATATGGGGAGTCTTCCATTTGTAGGTGGTGATTGACATGGATAAGACTTGCCAGAGAGTGTGTGAAGAGTTAAGAATGAATTCTCATCAACTCCAAGAATGAACTAGTGGTTACCAAAGAGGAGGGGTGTGGGAGGGTGGGTGGAGAGGGAGGGAGAAGGGGACTGAGAGGTATTATGTTTAGTACACATGGTGTGGGGGATCACGGGGAGAACAGTGTAGCACAGAGAAGGCACATAGTGGATCTCTGACAACTTGCTGCACTGATGGACAGTGACTGCATTGGGGTATGGGTGGGGACTTGATAATATGGGTAAATGTAGAAACCACATTGTTTTTTCATGTAAAACCTTCATAAGAGTGTATATCAACCATACCTTAATAAAAAATTTTTTTAAAAAGAATGAATTCTCATCAGGAAAATTAGATGAAGTACAATTTCAGGAAAATGGGGGAGGGGAACCATGAAAATGCAGAGAGCATTGCACATTCAGAAAATAACTAGAGGTTCATGAATGTGGCTTGGGATGGAGCTTAGGATGAGGATGGAGGAAGGGAAGGAGAGGAGAAGAGAGAGGACAATGAGGAAGTACGTGTTGGGACAGAGCGCAGACGGTCTTGATGCCTTTCACTGGCAGAAGCAGCACTGCACAGATGAAGCAACATGCCTTCCAATGGTATTTTACCCCCACCCCTACTTTTGGGAAGCTCAGAATGGTTACCACAGCTACTGTGCGTTGCAATACAGGTCTGTGAGGAAGCCTGGCATTATAATTTTGTGCAAAAGGGATGAGAGTGAGAAGTTAAACCACTGAGAGTATCTCTTCTGAAAACTGGATGTAAGGAGAGTCAACAGCACATATTAGTGCCAAAGGCGAGACAAAGGCACACACCAGGAGAAGCATGAGCCTGAATGAACAGAAGTTATGAGTCTGCAGAAATGATGAACATTCAGGAACTACAAGCAAGCAAAAGTTATGAACCAATAGGAGTTATGAGTAAGCAGAAGACACCAAACAGAATAGAGGAAAGTGAGTTTAGAACAAGAGCAGTAGGCACTTGGGCAGGACTAGAAGAAACTAAGGCCCACAAGATAACCATTACTAGAACTGTTACGAACCCAGAACCACCTTTCAGGTCACAGACTGCTCAGGTCTCCATATAGCCCAGTCTGGGTAGTGTGTATTTTCTACATGTATATCTGTTTAATTCCCCATTATTTAGGGTGAACTGAATGAGGCACAGTATTTCTCATCTCTTCTGTGTTCCTTTCTCTCTGTTACTCTCTCCTGGACTTCTCAGATTCCTCGTCTTCCTTTTGGCCCCAAATACTGGTCTCAGCAATGAATCTAAATGACATTTTTAACTCGTTTCCAAAGTTGTTTCTGTCTTTCTGTGTTGCGACTGCAAATTCCCGGGAGAAGACTCTGGCTTAGCTCATTTTTTTGAACCAGGCCACAAACATGACAGAGGTTGAACTGGCTGATTCTCTGGTGCATTTAAGGGCAGTGAAAACTGGAACGCCAGCTTATCTAGGATAGAAGAGATTGGCAGAGGAAGGAGGCAGGGACTTGAACACCTCTAGATGTCTTAGCTTGAAGAGTGCTTCTTCAAGTTCCACAGTGAATTCCCTTTCACCACATGTTTTCTTATATGATGTGCTCACATACTCACAGATTTGGCTTTAAAATGCCACACTACTAGAGAAAGGGAGGTTTCCAAAGTAGAGCCTTGGGAGAGCTAGGGAAAGCCAGCCTGCGCGGGATTGGGATAAAGTCCTGTAAAGCCAGCCTTAGGAAAGGAGGGAGGAAAAAGTTGACGGGTGAGGTTTAAGGAGAGAACATTCAGGCTTTAAGGTCCTGTCTTTCAATACTGTGACTCCTGGGAAGGGATGAGGCACGGGTGTTCCAGAAAGTTCTGATATTTGCAAAGAGAGGTGCCACCAAACTTCAGACAACTGGTAGGTAGTATAAGACAGCACCTCTTCCTTTCTTCTAAATTCCACTGCTTCTGTCAACAAAAGTCTGTGTCGGTGTCATACCCTCTCCAAATTCACTCCACATGAAGAAAAGGAACTATTGACAGCATGCTCTCTCACGCCTTTCTCTATTCCAAAGGAGCCCAGCCACAGACCTAGAAATCCTAGTTTTGTCCTCCAACTCAAGCTAAGTAGGATAGGCCTCCCTCTGTAACCATTGACCCCTGATGATTCTGCTTTCTCCATCTGACCCAGAATCTTCAGCCAGCCCATTCTGGGGTTCCTAATTTTCCTCCATGAAGCAGAGAGAGGCCCAGAATAAGCAATTCATTCATCCCTTCAGTAAGGGAAAGTGAATGAAGTGCCTATGATGTGGCAAACATGCTGCTAGGTCCTGGGGATACAACAGTGGTCAAGACAGACAGGGACTCTGCTTTCAAGGGCCTTAGAGTCTAATGGTGGAGACAAACATTAAATAACTTTAACAGTGATAAACATCTATTCTAGATCCAGCATTCAGTAGTACATATAACAAAGTGGTCTAGGAGAGGTGGGCAGGGAAGACGTAGGAGATGAGGGCTAGGAGATCTCTGCCACCCAGTTCCCCCAAAGCCCTAGCTCTAGTTCAAGAGGATACCTCACCACCCACCTTCTCAGCCTGGCTACCCCCTTGGTACTAGTTACAGCTCAAGAAGCAGTTTTCAACCATCCCTTATTGATCCCTGTTCTGTGCTCACATCATGTTTCCATCTGCATCCTGCCAAAACCATGATTGATATAGACCTTTATGAAAAGACTTATAGAAGTGAGCCAGGTTAAGGAAACAAAAAAAGGAAAGTAAGGGCAGCCAGGTTTTGGGAACAGCAAGAAACTGTTAATCTAACCAATCAAAACTGGTCCGTTTGCCCAATGCACAACAAGCCAAACGCTGACACCAGGATTTAGTGAAAGAAAATAGGTGTTTATTACAAAGCACCAAGTAAGACAGTGGAGAGCTGATGCTCAGTACCCCAAACTCCCCGTGGGCTTACAAGAAGGGGTTTTTAAAGGGAAAACTAGGAGTAAGGATCTCGGAATGCATGATCAGCTCATGGACATCTGCTTGGGTGAGCATGAATTCACCAGGAGGTATTTTGGGAATCTTAATCATCAGTCTTCTGGCTCTAACTAGTCTGAGGTCTTCATGCTTGTGGTGGGCCTCGGTTCCATCTGGTGGGGTCCCAGCTCCTTGAAACAACTCAAGGACATGCATGAAGATTTTATGTATAGCTCTAGAGGGGAAACACATTCTGGGACAGATTTACATCTAAGCGAAGCTATTATTACTCTTGCCTAACCTTTTCCTCTGCTCACACAAGTACCCATTTGCCTAATCACCATCAACTATCTAGTGCAATTCCCACACTCTGCCTCGGAGGGCATGGGGCCTGTCGTGAAAGAAAAGTCTGGAAATACCAAGAGGTATTGCTCAGTTTCAAAATCACTGTCTCTAGGCTGAAGGAGCTGAGGAAGAAAAACGTGCTCAGTTTCAAAACCATGATCATCTCTAGGCTGAAGGGGCTGGGGAAGAAAAACATATGACCACAGGCTGCTTGAGAGCTGGAGCCGTGGAAGAGGGAGAAGCGCTGTCAGGTAGAGACTCAGCTAGTGTGAGAACTACGGCAGGAAAGGAATAGGAAGAATAAATACTTCAATCTCAATTTCTCTGTATATTTGTGTGTGTGTATCTATTTCCCCCTCCAATGTTCCGTTGGCTGAACCCAATCTGAACCCTGAACCCAACCAGCACTCAGGTGATCAAGTCAATGGAGGTCAGCCTTCGTGGGTACAGGGCCAAAAGAAGGCTGAATTAGAGTGCCAAAAAGAAAATGACCAGCTAACCACACCTTGCAGTCAAGAACACTCTAAAAAGAGAGTAGATAGCTTTTAGAACTTATTACAAAGAGTACATGTTATTTTAGTGATAAGACTTTTTTTTAAGGTAGGGCAGAGCCCCAACACACCACCTTACACATGGCAATCAACTTTCACTGGCCCAACTTGCCATGGGTTGTTAGGGAGCAAGCTGCCTGAACAAGAACCTCAGAGTACGACCCATTGTGAGGAAACGGGGTTGTTTCTGAGGTTCTAGAATTCTCAGAAGCTGTGGCTTAGTATTGAGAGCTTCTGCTGTTTTTCTTCACAGCTCTTGGGTGCCCCACATCAGGGTCCCCTCTTTCCAAAAATCCAGATGAAGAAGTTGCTCTTATTCGTGAGTCTTTGCCTGCTTGGATCTGCCAGAGGTAAGCCTTCTATCTTGGCTCTGGGTGGATATGTAGCAGGCCTCTTCAGGTGTTTCAGCCCTCGACCATTATCTTAGTTACCCAAACCATTCTGGCTTAGAATCAGGACTAGCTAAACAAATTTGACTTTGAGAGCCCCTGAATCAGTTAATTCCTCTTAGTTATGGCTCTGCCATCACAGGGGCCTGCTGTCTTGGTTCCTACTTCTTTTCAGCTACTCAACATTTGTATTTGATGCTCTGTGAGATAAGATAGCTCCAGGGGTTCTGGAAGTCCAGTGGTTTGTCCCAGTGATATGAGCACAAGGCATCCGTATGTAGTTGATGTGGCAAGGAGAGAGGAATGTGATGTGCCCAGAAAGCCATCTCACAACACAACAGGGCTATGGGCCAGAGACCTTACAAGCCTCTCCTTCATGGCTGTGTTCTATCCATCCAGTTATCTGTATTTCCTCTTCCAGGATCCTCACTCATCATGGGCTGTGTTCCTTTTTTTTTCTCCTCTAGAACAGAGAGGCCATGAGATCTGAACTGCTGATTAAATGACAAAGTGCTTTCTGTAATCTTGGTTTTCAGAGATTTTATTTTTTGCTTTCTGACTTTCAAAAGTTGACTCAGAAAGGTAGATACATCACTAAAGGATGGTAGTATGTGCCAGACACATGGAGAAGCAGAATCAGAAACTATAAGAATGACTAAGAAATTAGTGTGCTTTTTCCAGCCTCCTTTCTATATCAGAAAGATCTCTTTATTAAAACTTAACTATTGAAGAATTGGTCAAGCAGATAATATTTCTACAACTTTAAAAAATATAAACCTCCTAAAAACCTTACGAAAATCTTACCTCTCCTGTATCAACATATTCTAATCCTAGTCTTTCAGAAAGTCATTGATTATAGGGGCTGCAAATCACCCAGAATATGTATACCTATGGCAGGACTCTCGCAGAGCTAGAGAACTTTGGGGCCTTGACTGTTATCAGCCTCAGAGGTTTCAGGTTTTAGCTGGGATTAATAACTCAGTACTAGTCCTCTACTTGCCCTCCTCTAAGTTATTCAGTTTAATCAATAATACACCAACATAATATTTTATATACTTTTATATAATGTTAATAATAAATATATATTTAATAAAATATATTTTGTTATATAAAAATCAATATGAAGAGCAATTATCAAATTGTTTGGTGCTAAATAAAATGAAAGTCATTCTTAAGGAATGTTTGTCTGACAGTCATTGATGTGATGACCAGAAGAGTGACCAGCTAAGAGTTTTATTAATTCCCAGCTAAGATGGGGAGAAGAGAAAACTAAAATTAATGAAGCACTTCGGTAATAGTCTAGGCATTTCAGTTTATCTTGTTGAATACTAATGACGACTCCATGAAGTGGGTGTAAATGGGTGTGTCACAAGGAATCTCAATTGAGAAATATATAAGCAAATAATTTTTTATTTTAATAATTGATAGCAACTTTGCTTTGACTCCCAACCTACATGAATTGGGAAGCAAGTGAGGAAAAGAACTGAAGCTTGCCAAATAAAGGTGTTTTAATTCCTTCTGATGATTTTTATGGATTTATTAGATATTTGTCATCTCCAGTTTAAAATTTATTGTGCCCAAAGGTTAAAATCTCCCACTGTCAACTTTGGCTAGAATTACTCAGCTACTGAACAGACTTGCTTTCTCTGTCCCTCTTCTGCCTCCATTCTTCTTGCCTTTTACCCACAGAGCAACTGAAGGCAGGGCTGGTGGTAGACTTCTTACTACATGAGTGATGGTACACTCATTTCCTGATGCAGGGAGGCACATTATTTCCCTTCCGGTGCTTTTGGTGCATGGATGAATGGGCCCCCTGTGCACTTCTTAATATCGTGGACTTTGAAATACTTCCCTTCAATCCCAGAGGTGGTCTTGTGTGTTTTATCAATATACCTGTCCTTCATGATATCTTGGGTAATTAGTTGGTGTCCTCCAACATCTACAATATCTTCAGTGCCTGATCTAGGCCCACAGGAAACCTATGAATCCTGCATTGCCTCACTCCATAGGAAAGTGGTCTTTACTGTGGACATTCTTTCTGTCACCTTCATCTCTCTTGTGTTTCTTTTCCATCCCAGGAGCATCAGGTCAGCCTGATGAGCCTCCTGGCTCTATGAGTCATCAAGCTTCAGTTCAGCAATTTTCAGGTCAGTACTTTTCACCTGCAAACCCTTCAGATGCTGAGGCTTTATATGAGTTCTCTTCAGGTAAGAACACTTTAAATGAGAAACCTTCAGATGAGCATGCTTTGCACAAACATGCTTAGATGAGTGTGCTGTAAGTGAGCATGCTCCAGGAGAACATGTTGCAGGTGAGCACGCTTCTGGTGAACAACCTTCCAGTGAACAACCTGCAGGTGAAAAGCTGTCGGTTGAACAGCCTGCAGGTGAACAGCCTTCAGGTGAAAAGCCATTGGATGAAAAGTCGTTGGGTGAACAGCCTTCTGGTGAACAGCCCGCAGGTGAAGAGGACCCAGGTGAAAAGCCAGTGAGTGAACAGCTTTCAGGCAGTCCACCATCAAGCACATTTTCGGGTGAGCCATATTTGGATGTGTGCCAGTCCTTGACTGCAGGTGGGAAGCAGGCAACACGTCAGAAACCCAGTTTTAGAGTAGAAGAAAGAATAGTTCACAAACACTTCACAAATAGCTCTCCCAAAGATTCTATCTCTTTACAATAATACGAGAAGGTAGGATCTAGGTTTTGTGGGGGTACTGAAGGCTAAGCAATTTGGAGGGCTCTCTTTTTGAAAAATAACACAGAATGCCAGCTGTCCCTCCATCTTCACTCTACCTAAGAAATTATGAATATGAGTGTCCACAGCTCTGCTTATGGAAGACTAATCTCCATGAGCTTCATGCTAAATCTGTCTCTTAACAAACTATGTTAGAATGCTTTACAAACCCTGTAAGAGACGTCTAGCACCAGAGCTGGTGGTTCTGTTTTTTCTCTTTGTTTGAACATGGAAAATAAAGTATGCAGTCTGTTAGGCCCAGAAATAAGTTCCCAGGACAACAATTCTTGGGCTCTTACTGAAAAGGGCTTATTCAAGGAAGTAAAACAAGATCCAAGGTTTGCTGTGTCAAGTTATTACCAGACATAAATACTTCATATTTCACCCCATTGTACAAGTAGCAGTATTCCAAATTTCAGAGGAGAGAAATGAAGCTAATGTCACTGGGGAAAATGGAAGTTCTTGTGGCAAGGATCCTCACTTGACTCTAAACCACTTGATATAATTGGCCTACTGCTGGCTAATACTTCCACCCCCTCCCCCACCCCATAGGCAATAAGCTGTTACTGACTGAGTCATTATACAGAGTTCTGCCGAGTGCTCTGGGCAGAGGTAGAGATGAAGGTGTATTACAGACCTGCAGACTGCTGGGTACAGATGTGATTCTAGTGCTTGACCTATTGCTCAAGGAATAAAGCCAGGTATAAATCCTTTTACCCCAAGAATGTTCCACTGCCATTTCTCAGTCTCACTGAACCCATACTGAACTTGCCCGAGGCTGAAACCCTCAGGCAAGACAGTCACACAGCTAGAAAATAATAAAACGTGGATTCAAATGTAGACCTGATTCAAAAGCCTACATTTTTTCCACTTCTTTATGCTTCTGTAACTAGGGATTTGGCAGTGGAGATAGTAAAAGAGGCAATATGGAAGTATTTCAAAGAAAATGCCCTTTGTGACACACTGACCTTATTGAAGGTCAATTTGAAAATGGAGAATATGCAGACTCTTTACGGCGTTTGCAACATTAGAGCATTCTAACTAGCTTGTTAGTCAAATTTTGTTCCAAGTGCCGTGCCCTATGCTGAGTGGGTGTATGAGGGAGCAGTCATGAGAAGTTCTACTTTGCTACTTTTTAGACAGGGTACAAGGACATCTAATTATGAATGAAATTCAAATAGAATTTATAGTTAGATGACCTTGGAAGGACATGGAAGCCACTGGAGATATGAATTATTGTAAAAGTCAGTGTTAGAGAAATAAATTTGAAACTCATCAGCAATGAAAATCATAGATGGGTCAGTAAGAACAAAGGAAGTTCCTCTGGTACAGAAGAGAGAATGAGATGTGTCAGACACAGGTCCCTCAGATCCCCAAAAAGAACCATGAAATGAAATGGGATGTAACCTATTGCCCATCATCCCTCTCTGGTCCATAAGGGAATTTTATCAGGATTATCTTCAATTTTCAGGCCCAGTATTTAATTGCCACACATGCTCTTATATGAATAACCAAGGAAAATGTCTTCATGGAGAGGGAGTCTGCTCCACTCAGAATTCCCAGCAGTGCATGTTAAAGAAGATCTTTAAAGGTATGTGGGGACTCCATGAGGCAGTCTTTGCCAAAGAAGGTATCAACCAACTTGAGTGCTGATAGGAAGTACTGTTGAGGTGCCTGGGGCCTGAGGAGGGTTCAAGCTGTGATTCCCCAGAAACTTGGAGATTCAAGAGAACTTTACCATTTCAAGAATAAAGACAATTCCAGCTACTGACGGAGAGGTAGAGGCCTTTTCAGCAGGCCTACAGTGTCTTAAAAGAAGACAGGCTGTCTTTCTATTAAAGAAATGTGTAAGTTGCTCCTTGAGCCATTGAGACATTGACTGTAAACTCAGGACTGTGTCTGTCTTGTTCATGGCTATATATTCCTAGTACTTGGCACAATGTCCAGTACATGATAGGCACTTAGTAAATACTGAACTAATAAACTAATTAACAACTGTCTACCCATTTGTGTTCACAGGTTACCAGACCTGAGTATATTTCTACACTTCTCTACCTTTATACCCACTCCTTATCCCTACAAGGGATCTTGGATACTTCCATCCTGCAAACCACACTGACCGACTTCCCTGTGCTGTCTGGTCCCTCACTAAAGGGACTGGGCATCTGACAGCAGGGGGAAAGGCCAGAAGAGGCAGGTGGAAGCAGGGGAGGGGAAGGAAGAACACAGGTTGGAGGTCTTGATTGTGCCTGCAGGGCACACTGGCACCATGGATAAAGGCCAAGGGTGGAGGAGGAAGCCTTCTGTTCACTACGGCCTCTCTCTTCTTTCAGATGGGAAACTCCAATACATGGTTCAAGGGTGTAAGAACAAGTGCTCATCTATGAACCTCTTCTCCAAAGGAATCAGGGTGCAAATAACATGCTGCCGCAATCTATCTTTCTGCAACAAGATCTAGAAGCCTGTGCCTTGCTTCTTGCTGTGACTCAGGCAGTAAAAAAAAATCTTCCATCACCCCACTGGGCTCAATTTATATTTAATTTCCTCCCCAACCAATAACTAATCACATCTGCCTCTAAGTGTCAGAGAGGATGCTCAAATATCTTATCTTACCCCTCCTGTCCATGCCCTGCTACCCATTCTTCTCTGCTCCCTGTTCCCTCATCTGATATCTCAACATTCTTTTCTTTTCCAATAAGTTCCGCATAGTTAAAGAATACAGACTCCAGAGACTTCTTTTTCAGTTAGCCAGTTGCAGGGTCAGCCTGAGCTTTCTTCCCCTTCACACACTAAAGTGGATGTACTTTTAAATCATTCTGCATTTGTCAAAGTAAAGTGATCCCCCAGGGCAGAGACCACAAAGAGGAATACAAAGTAGGTGTTAACCTTTTATGAGCTTAAACAATATTGTGGGTCCTTCTCTCTGACCCCCTACATTTCCATCCCTATAGAAACCTCTACTTATCATGGTGTCCAAAAGTCATAATAATATTAAATTTCCTGATTTCTATTAACTAAACTAGGTTATATATGAGAAACCCTTGTTCTCAGTAAATACATACTGAATTACTCAAAAGAAAAATAACACCAACTGAGACAAAATGGTACAAAAGATTTGGACTATTTCTCACACTGAAAAAACTAAAAATACTGGAAAATATTTAAAATATCTTAAAAGATCCAAAAAGCTACCAAGACAGTATGGAGTTAACAACTGAAAGTTAAAAGGAAAACAGAACTCAGAGAGTTAAGTAAACAATGGAAGCTACTTTTACCCTGTGAGCATGCCAGTAACTGGGCCTCATGGGGTGAAAGGGACAGAAATTTAAACCCACAGCATACAAAGGAGGTAGAGACCCTCTGATGGCCATATCCTCAGGGCAGCAGTGGATCATGCATACATGCTATATTTGAGCCTTGAAATACATGTGTTGTTCTTCAGGGTTAATACAACCCAAAACTCTGGTCATTATTGTTCTGGACCCTTGAACAAACCATCTTATAGAACTGAAGCTCAAATTCCTATTTCTTGGATAGTACAATAAATGTCAAGTGTTGAACTTAATCTAAAGTGGTTCCACAGGGGTACTACCCAAAAGTACCCACTAGAAGCAAATGCACAGCTTCTCTGGAAGGAGGTGTCTTCATTGCAGGCCCCTATTTATTCCTAGGAATAATTTTTTAAGTAGAGTGAGCAGCACACAGTAAAAGTTAACCTAGCATAAGAAATGATCATGAGTAAGAAGAAATAATAGACAGGAACAGATCCACAAATATTTCAGATTGGAATTTGTAACACATGAAACTATGTACAAGGACAACGAAAGAAACTACCTAGAATATAGGACAGAGACAAAAAGATAAATGAGAGATTAAGAGACAGAGAAGACAGTGAGAAGGTCTAAACAAGTTTAACTGGAATCTGAGAGAAAGAAGAGACCAAAAAATGGAGCAAAGGCAATACCTGAAATGATAATGACTGAGTTTTTCAGAACAAATCAAAGGCAAAAATTCACAGACTGAATATTCCCAATGAATCCCAAGCAAGATAAATAAAAAATAAATCTGCATCTGCACATAATACAGTGAAATTACAGACATCTCTCTCAAAAAGAAAATCTAAAATCAACCAGAGAGAAAAGACAGATTCTCCTGAAAGGAACAACTGTTAACCTCACAATTGACTTCTCAACAGCAGTGATGGAATGGTATTACTACTGTGCTGGTAGTCTCTAGCAGACAAAAAACATTCTTCAAGAATTAAGGTCAAATAGGGCAATTTCAGATGAGTGAAAACTAAGAGTGTTCGCCACCAACAGACCATCACTAAAAAGAAACAAAAGATAAACTTCAGAGACTAAGGAGGGAAAAGATGGCAGAATAAGAAGGCAAGGTGGAAACCGCCTCCCACATACACACCAAGGAAGCAATTGCAGTAAATGTTTAAAAAAAAACCAAAAAACCTGAAGACTGCAGAACCAACCATCTATACCAAGTGAAGAAGACCACAAAAAGGGAAAAGTAGCAGAGCTATGACAGATCAGGACCCAAGTCCTTCCTCCATCCCAGCCCACAAGTGGGCGAGGAACAGAGCAGCGAGGGGTTAAGCATACAGGAATCCTGCACACCAGGCCTTGGAGATCTGCTCTGAGAACGTGAGACCACGTTGCACTGGGCTTTGGTGATTAACTGGGCTGGACACCAGGGTAAGTTGGAGCACTCTGGGAGGTTGAGGCCCCTGCCACTTGAGGAAGATAGGCATGCTCCCTTGGTCACACTGAGACCCAACACAGAGACAGCAGCTTGAAAATTTACCAGCACCAGGAAAGGTGCCAGAGGAATGTGGGTTGAAGGGAGCTCTCTCTGGAGGACAGTGGGCAGGTGGACGAGGCTTCCCCAGCCCTCCCTCAGTCCTCCTGGTCAGGGGCTCATGGGAGACAGCTGCAAATACTCCATCCCCCTCACTGGTGGCTCAGCCCCACGGTGCTTCTCTGTGCTCCATGTTGTTGCAAATGGTAGGATTTCTTTCTTTTTTATGACTGAATAATATTCCTTTGTGTATGTACCTCATCATCTTTATCCATTCATTGATGGACACTGATTGCTTCCATATCATGGCTATTGTAAATAACATGGCAATAACCATAGGGGTGCATATATCTTTTCAAAGCAGGGATTTTGTTTTCTTCAGGTAAACTCTTAGAAGTGGAATTACTGGGTCATAGGGTATTTCTAGTTTTAGTTATTTTGACAATCCTCCATACTGACTGCACAATTTACATTCCCACCGACAGTGTAGGAGTGTTCTCTTTTCTCCACATCCTTGCCAACACTTGTTATTTATTGTCTTTTGGATAGTGGCATTTCTAACCAGTGTGATGTGATATCTCAATGTGGTTTGATTTGTATTTCCCTGATAATTAGCAATGTGGAGCACCTTTTCATGCGCCTGTTAGTCATCTGTATTTCTTCTGCAAAATGTCTGTTCAGTCTTCCACCAATTTTTTTTTTTTGGTGTAAAGACATATGAATTCTTTATATGTAATTTTGGATGTTAACCCCTTATCAGATAAATCATCTATTAATATTTTCCCATACAGTAGGTTGCCTTTTTGTTCTATTGATGGTGACCTTTCCTGTACAGAAGCTTTTTATTTGATGTAGTCCACTTGTTCATTTTTTATATTGCTTCCCTTGCTCAGAAAGATGTGTCAAGGAAAAAGTTGATGATGCTTATATTCAAGAGATTTTTGCCTATGTTTTCTTCTAAGAGTTTTATGGTTTCATGTCTTATATTTAGGTCTTTAATCTATTTCAAGTTTACTCTTGTGTATGGAGTTAGATGGTAATCCAGTTTCATTCTCTTGCATGTAGCTGTCCAGTTTTCCCAACATATTAGTAAAGAGACTGTCTTTTCCCATTGCATAGTCTTGGCTCCTTTATCATATATTAGTTGACCATATATGCACAGGTTTATATCTTGGCTCTCTATTCTGTTCCATTAATCTACGGGTCTGTTCTTGTACCATTACCATACTGTTATAATTACAGTAGCTTTGTAGAACTTGAAGTCAGGGAGAAAAATACCAAGACTTGTTCTTTCTAAAGACCTCTATCTGGGGTCTTTTTGGTTTCATAAATTTTAAGATTATTTAATAGTTCATTGAAAAATGCTGTTGGTGTTTTTGATAGGGGTTGCATCTAATCTGTAAATTGCTTTGGGCAGAATGGTCCTTTTGATTATATTAATTCTTCCTATCTATGAGCATAGGATAGATTTCCATTTATTTGTGTCTTTAATTTCTCTTATCAGTATCTTATAGTTTTCAGAAAACAGGTCTTTCACCTTCTTGGTTAGGTTTATTCCTAGGTATTTCATTCTTTTTGATAAAATTATAAATAGGATTGTTTTCCTGATTTCTCCTTCTAGTTCATTGTTACTATACAGGAATGCAACATATTTCAGTATGTTGATTTTGTATCCTGCAACACTGCTGAATCCAGGTATTCGTACTAATAGTTTTTTGTTGGCATCTTTAGGGTTTTCTATACAGTATCATGTCATTTGCAAATAGTGACAGCTGTACTTCTTCCTTATCACTTTGGATGCTTTTTATCCATTTATCTTGTCTGATTCCCATAGCTAGGACTGCCAGTACTATGTTGAATAAAAGTGGTGAGGGTCAACATCCTTGTCTTGTTCATTGAAAATGCTTTCGTATTTTCCCCATTGAGTATTAGCTGTAGGTTTGCTGTATGTGCACTTTGTTATGTTGCAGTATGTACCCTCTATACCCATTTTATTGAGAATTTTTATCATGAATGGATGTTGAATTTGTTATATGCTTTTTCACCATTTTTTTGAGATGATCATATGGTTTCATCTTTTTTGTTAATGTGGTATCACATTTATTGATTTATGAATATTGTACCATCCTCAAATCCCTGGAATAAATCCCACTTGGTAGTGATGGATGATCCTTTTGATGTATTTTTAAATTCAGTTTGCTATATTTTGTTGAGGATTTTTGCATCTATGTTCATCAGTGATATTGGTCTGTCATTTTCTTTTTTTGTAGTGTCTTTGCCTGCTTTTGGTATTAGAGTGATACTGGCCTCAAAGAATGAGTTTGTAAGTATTCCCTCCTCTTCTACTTTTTGGAATACTTTAAGAAGGATGGGTATTAGCTCTTCTTTAAATGTTTGGTAGAATTTGGCTCTAAAGCCATCTGGTTCTGGTATTCAGTTTGTTGGGAGTTTTTTGATTACCAATTCAATTTCATTACTGGTAATTTTTCTGTTCAGATTTTGTTTCTTCCTGGGTCAGTCTCGGAAGATTGTGTTTTTCTAGGAATTTATCCATCTATTCTAGGTCGTCCAATTTATTGTCATATAATTTTTTAGAAATCTCTAATAATTCTTTGTATTTCTGTGATGTTTGTTGTGACTAGTCCTTCT